ACACACATACACACATACATACATACATACATACATACATATATACATACATACAATTTAATCGACGCACACACACACACACACACACACACACACACACACATACAGACATAGTGACAACCTCGCGGGGATAGTCAGGGGAGCTTCATGTGACCTTAAAACGTCGAGATCTGATGAAAACTCGATTTTTGTAAAACGGGGTGAAAACAATAACTTCTCGATTTTTGAAAATCTTCGATTTTTAGCGGGAAGTTAAAAATAAAAATAATTTTTAACTAGATCATTGTTAATGAACTATTTAATAATAATACTGCACAAATAATTTATTTAAAAAGTTTAAAAAATAAAAGCATGATTATTATTTGAGGGTAATTGACATCATAATCATTAACCTGAATTGATACATAATTATAACTAATGCATCATCATTGATATTTGTTTAAGATAGTGTATCTCAATATTTACAATAAATAATATGTATGAATAGAAAATTTTAATGTCCCCCTACAATCATTATCTACTTATTTTTTAGAGATAATGTAGCTTTTATTTTCGGCATTTTAATAGTGTCATTGACCATTTAGTTTTGTTTTGAAGAAGCAACTTTATTTTAATTAAATTTATATTTTTATTAAATAGCTTATTAATATAACTTTGTATAGATAATTTTACTTTTATTCAAAATGAGTTGGATGTCGTCAAATAATGTTTCAAAGTCACAAGAAAATTTATGATATTGACAAGTTGAAGTATTATTTTACGATGTAAGCAGTTTTTCTAAATCTATTGAGCGAAAAACTATTTATATTACATTCATAATTTTTAATCCCGGTTAATGTATTCTACTTATTTTTTATAATTAAGAGAGTAAGGAAAATTTTGTCTTCGATAATCTATATGAAAAAATTGATTTTCCTAGTTCAAGTTTGGTATCATCAAAAAATCAAGACCTGAATTTGTGCCTTTTTAAAATTAAATAGTTCTGATAATTTATAATGTATTATATTAAGTTTTTAGAGTTGTATTCATTTTTATGAATCATAACATCAATGTAAAAAAATAATATGAAAATAAATTAAATGAAAAAAGTTTCAAATAATGGGCTTATTGTTAAAGAAGTGATCAATTTTTTTCTTTATTAATTTCCACTTATTTCTGTAGTTAAATTACAATATATATATATATATATATATATATATATATATATATATATATATATATATATAGCAGTTAAATTATTTGTTATCCATTCATGGGGATCAAGCTTTTGGTTCTAAAAGTTGATTTTGCGAAATTCGTTATTCAGTTATCGGTAAATGGTCTTACGATAGCGATAGTAGTAAGAATAAATTTATATAAAAAGTTCTTTAAATTATCTTAATTTGAACATTGACAATATCGAAAAATCATTGAGCCGGAGTTTTTTAAATTCGAATTTTGAACTCTCGGCATTGACACAGTGACTCCGGATTGTTTGAAATCATATGACGATGAAATTTTTCAATCAACTATTTGTAAAAGACAAAAGCTATAAAATTAACATTTTTTTGTTTGATTGCACGTACTGAACTACTTTAATTATTAAAAACAACAAAGTAAACGTAATGAAGATTTGGCTAATTTAAAAATAGAAGTAAAAATAAATCAATAAAGTCATTAATAGGTAAATCAATAAATCAACAAAAGACATTATATATGTGTTCAATTAACTCTATTATTTACCTTTCATTTTCTTCGCCTTCTTTAGGTACTTTTATTACATAGTAAACATGACCTCCATGTGAAGTCGTCATTCTGTTTAATTTATTTTTATTCACTTTTCAATAATACTATCACAGATTGTATATATTTTTTAATTAAAGTAATCTTTTAATCATCTTTAAACATTACGTATCTCATAGAAACACTATTTTAGATTAAACTCTCTATATTTTTTTGTTTTTCCACTTGGAATTATTACACATTTAATATTTTTCATTATTATTATTTAAAGGTTGACAAAAATAAATATATTTAAAAGTCATAAGTATCAAAGTATTGTTTTTTTTTTTTTTTTTTTAACGTTAAAATTATTTCACCGTAATAAAAACCATTCTCGTTACCAGTTACTGAGTAAGTATTACGTACTGTTATTAATATAATTTTCTCACTACATAGGTATCAACTCCCCAATGCCACTGGTGGGATATATATAAGTCTATCGTCGTACAGTTATTTAAAGCACTCGCCGTATTTTTTCAGTGACAAGCTTACGCCCACGTTGATATTAACAATATTCAACAACGAAAATCATTTGTTTTTAATACTTCAGATTAAACAAACTCTTTTTTTTATATTTATAAAAAAGTAAATGAATCATTGATACTAAAGTTTTAAATTTTTAGGTTTGTTGCTTTCTATTAGCATATTTTCTTTTTTCTATACTGAAAAGAAAAACGTATAATTTTAAGAAAAATGATTCGAATTTCTTAAATCCTGAAAATTTTATGAATATAGTAATTATAATTACAATCATTCAAGAATAAAAATAATGGTTAAGTGAAAATACATTTATAAAAAGTAAAACATTTATTTGTGAGTATTATTGGCTTATTAGATGGCGCAGAGTTGAAATAACGATAGAGGTGATTAGTAATACGGGGTTCGAATCCCGGCGAGGTTAGAAACTAAATTTTTTTTCTTTGTATTACACGACTCATGATGCAAAGCATCAGAGAGTGCTTTACGATCGAAAAAATTTTTTTGCCTTATTTCGACAATTGATATATTTATGACTATTTGACGAAAATTATAGTTGCTTTAACTTATTTAGAAAAAGTTTATATATTATTATGGTTAAAAGCAGTCAACATTAAGACTTATGAATCGTTTACGCTTGTAAGTCAAATAGCTTACAAATAAATTGCGATTTAAAAATAATTTTGCGATTACATATTGAATTCATATAACAGCAATATAAGTCATATTTTTGTAATTCAATATAGTATACTCAAATATTTAAATTAAAAAATTACGTAATGTAAATAAGATTTTCTTAAATGCAAGCAATTATTATTACCGCGAAACCGCACAGGAATTAGACATCAAAAAATTCACTAGTGTTTTAGTTCATTATTGTTATATCCCGCAAGACAACTTCTATGACTTAATCTCATTCATAAAATTAATGTTCGTTATTATAGTATGATCATGATTTCCGGAGTGAAGTAAAAAATAAAAAGGGAGACTTGTGTCTATGCGCCGTGTAAAAAGTTAGTATGTCAAATGAACGAAGCATCAAATTAGATAGTTGAATGTTTTACTTAGATACTCTACCACTCATACAAACGGATTTTTCAAGAATTTTAGCGGCTTTTTTAAGAATCTGTAACATTACTTAACTAAACTCAATTCAGAAATTTTAATTCAAGCCTGCATTTTTTGCAGAACTTTTACGACCCTGTTACATGCTCTCCACCACTTAGAAACGTTCCGTCAAGCTTCCGCTCTAAGTTCCTTTCAGTCTGATGAGTGGAAGGTTTTTGATGCGAGATACCTGCGGGGTTTCTCAGAGACAAATTTTCTTTATACGGATATCTATTATTGTGAAATTAATTTACAGTAAATAAAATCTGTTTCACTACAATAAAAGAAACAGCATCTAATGACAGTTTTCTGATTGAAACTAAAACTATAATAAATTTAAGAATGTTTTCATTCATTTAGAAAATTTTTTGCTTGTTCCAAGCAATTCTAACCAAAAAATAGGGAATAAATATTGAAAATAAGAAATTTACGAATTCAATTTCAATTCGAAAAAATTTTTTTCTTAACGTGTGTCTGAGCTTTGAAAAACTAGATCCGATTTTTTTATTTTAGAATTCGATCAAATAATTATATACTTTAATTGAAAAACAAAAATGGATCCGTTATTTATTAAAAAAAAACTAAAAGTTTCTAATTTATGTCATTTTTAAAATCATTGAAATTAATTATCGTTAAAATACTTCATTATAGAGAGCTAAACGAAGCTTATATTAAATAAGATATTATCGACACTTTCTGTCCTAGTGCTCTATTTTCTGAAGTCCCTGACCTATTTACCGTTTCAGTGAATACAAGCTTCAGCTTTCCCACTTAAAAAATAATGAAATTCGCTGGATAACTCAATAAATTACAGATTTTAACAACCGCTTACCGAACAACAAAATATCAAATGAACAATATTATAATTTTATGAATTGAAAATTTTTATCGCAGCTGACACGCACACAGAGCACTCCAGCTTTATTGATTTATTTCTTATGCAATAAAATGATGCTTCAGTTAAAATAAATCTCTAGCTTCATTAACTGTGAGAAGATTAACATATCACGTTATCTTTATTATTATTGATAATAAATTATTTATAGAAATATAAATAAAGTTTATAATAAACTACAGTTTACTGTTTCAGAATGGGACAAATTAGCTGAAAGAACACGTTAAATCAATAGTAATAAACGTTAATTATAGACACGCGTTCAACAGTAACACGTTAAATTTTATTAACAATCGACAACTAACAACCAGCGTTAATTTTTATTTTTCACAAAAAAACAATGCGACAGTTGATTTACAAATGGAATAATCCAAGGCCGAAGTGATTAACATTTATTAAAGTGATAATTCACGTTAGCAATAAAAATGTGAGTCGTATTGTGATGTCGCTAAAATAACATTGCGTGACATTTGCCAGTACTGGAAAATAATAATAATAATAAAATAAAACAAAATTTCATCTCTCCACGTGAGTGTAACCCCTGAGACTGGGGGACGACTTTTCTATGGGTCACACATTCCAGATGGGGGATAGATGTGGGCCAGCGGGTAACTCGATGTCACGCACTACCATTCACACATGCGCATTCATAAATTACCGGTTATGTCGATGAAAAACACAATGATATAAATAAAGAAAAAAAAAATAATTTTTATGATTTATGATTCGTGTAAATTATACCTTCAATTTTTTGTTTTTGCAATTAATCTAAATTTCAAAATAAATAAAATACGAATGTAACGTTTAAGGGAAGGAATTGAATTAGCTGAGGCAGGTCACGGTCTTTTAAATTATATTCTCTTTGGCAAACTATCTTTGGCACAAGAGTTAGATGCCAACGTTAATGGTGAACAAATACTACACAGTGCACTAGTACATTACACTCAAAGTCGTTGCTCTTTGTTAAAATTTTGTATCAAATGAAAATTACGTCACACAAAAATTATTCAAATAGATGTTTAATATCCAAATCTAAAGTAGAAACACTCCCAAATTTATTTATTATTTATATACTGTTCAATTTTTAATTCGATCTCTAACTTTACAGGATAACCAGATGTTACGGGTTATCTAATAAATAAATAGTGATGAGGGGAAACGTCACCAAGGTCATAGCAATGAAAAAACTAATGGTTGAAACAGTAACAGATCCGATGCAATGTTCACCAGTGCAGCGGGTACCACTACTGCTAGTGGCAAACATCAGCGCCTCTGCACATCCCACCCACGCTATATCGATCTTCCATCCTCTCCCTTCTTCTTTGTACACTCATATATACATAATATTATACAGCATAGATGTATAGATACAGTGATACCCATCTTGCATTTAGTGTCATCGTAGACGTAGACGTCCTCGTTAACATTGGCTAGAAGGTAGCCGATTACTCTGTAAGGTAGCCATCTGGGTGATCAAGTTGAGTGAACTAGTTATATAGAGTCAACTTGGTGGTTGTGATGGGTGATATAAATACTGCAAATACAACTCATAGCTAATCCCTTCTGGCACAATTGTCCCATGCTACATCTAGCCTGACACGCTACGAATCACATACCATGTAAATATAGATAAGAAGAAAAGTGAAGACTCTCATTTACATGTGTTGCGCAGATACCGACAATGTTTGCATTAAGCTCCTCTGAGGTTTCTGGGCTGATTATTGACAGAAAGGATTACTTGGAAGTGATTAATCGGGTTCTTTGAAAACTGTTTCAGACCAGGTAAACTAGCACCAAGGGAGTGAAATTTTCCATGGTAGATATGGTATTTACACGGAAGAATGCGCGAAAATTTTCAGATTTTACATAGCACTACTCAACTAAATTTATACATGTCTGAAAAATCCTTCACTGAGAAAAAAAATTTCTTTTGAAATTAATTTGTTGAATATAGTCAACAATTATATTTCTTAGCTGAAGAAATCGAAATTTTTCTCACAGTAGTTTTCTTCTAATCAAAAAGTTTTCTTGATTTAGAAAAAAAACACTTTCAGATAGACAACTTGCAAATTTTCATCCAAAATTTTCTTTTCCCAAAACTAGAAACCTGTTTTTTCAACAAGAAAGTTACACAATATACTTGTGATTTTTCGATATTCAATCAAATAATATTAGATTGTAGAAAAAAAAACTAATAGCTATTTTAATTTATCAGGTAGATTTCTTTAGAAAGTTAAATTTTTTATCAGTGTATGACAATATAATATGGTCATAAATGCCTATATATAATTTTTTGACCAAAGGTAGGGTTTAAAATCTCCGACAAAGGGGTGCATGATCGCTGAATCGTCTTCACATAAGAGAGTTAAATTTGAGGTGTTAATTTTTTAAATGAAATTAATTTTTTTATTCTCACAAGAAGCTTATCTGGTATTGGTTTCAAATTGAATCAATTACTTAACGAATTGTTGTTTAATATGAAATTTTAATTGACGTACACATCTCTAGAAAGAATAAAAAATTCTGATAAATTATCTTTTTACTATCATATATAGCCTGA